GGTGGGTGTGGGGGGGGGGGAGTTCATTAGGCACTTTAAATGCACGCAGAAGAAGAAGAGGAAACAATTGAGATGCTGTGAAGGGCTACGAGTGTCTCAACGCACTTGGTTTGATGAGCAGGTGTGCCTTAGTGCCGTGCTCAACAAAACAAGAATGCTTAATTTGTGAATTTTAGCAGATTTCACAGGTACTGTAACAACAAATTTACAAAAGCTGTTGTCTATTAAAAGAAATATAAATTAATGCTTATTTGTCAATACTATAAAGTAGCATATTGGTATTCATTAATATATTTAATTAACAAATGCACTGTGAATTAGTATAAATATTGTGGATAAAAAAATAATAATTTAATTGAGGTAAATACCTAAGCATGCTGTGAAAGTGTGTAAATAACATGCAATAATGTCATTTTGAAAGTATTTAAAAATGTATTAACGTTGGCGTCAATGTGAAAGAGAAATTATTCCTGCGTATATTCCACACTTTTGAAGCCTCCTTTTGGCACCAATTCATAAATTGTAAGCGCGAATTTGTGCAGCTCCACAAAATATTCCTATTGAAAGTTGGAAATAATCTTTTCAGTCATCAAGATACATTTTTTTTAACTAACTATGATAATTTTAATGTCATTTGAAAGATAATCTAAAAGTATATAATTGATGATATTCATTATCTGCCTGAAATTGAATAACTTACGATTGAATTGACGAATCCAAGTCTATATCGTCTTAAGTGGCTGATGATGCGGTAAATATCCACCGCTTTCATTCCCAACTCAATATTCTGCTTTAGAATCCACGCAGTCACGAAGAAACCATTTCGTCCTATTCCGCCCCTAACAAAAAAAAGAATAAAAGGTTACAAGGCGGAGGAGTAAAAGGTCCCATCTAAAGAATAAGTAACAGATAGTGCATAGTTTATTATAGAGTTATGCAGCCAATCTTGTCAATCAGTCCCTCCCCCCCCCCCAATTGACATCTCTAATGTTGCTCATATTCTGATTAATTGATTTCGTGGGTAAATCCTTTTTTATAAAATGTGCTACTTCACTACTTGGAAATTATTAACACATTAAGAAACTGTTTATTTGGCTCTCTCAATTTACCCTTTGTTTATTCTAATTGACCCATGCATTTTCCTTAAATTACTAAAAAAATGATCATTCATGTTAAATGAGAGAGAAAAAAGACGGAATCCCTGTGACTACTTTTATTTAATACCGTTTTGGTTTTTTGCTGTTCTATTATTAACGTTATATCCAAGAGCATTATACTTACACTGTATGATAGGGCTGATTCAGAAGTCATCTTGTTACTAATCTCGCAACAATCGTAGTCATTAAAGTTCACAACTGATTGGCAAGTTGGTGTGAGGTAGTGGAAATCATTTTTTAATTGAGATATGCACTTATTTTTCAATGCATCATAAGCTATCTGTAAAAATTTAGTATATCTTCCATCCAGTAACTTTTGAACGCATCTTGCAGAGCTATGCCAACGTAAAATTTTACCTATCTCGTTTCTGCTTTATTGAAAGTACGAAGTGTTGAAATTCTTGTAAGGCCAATTGCTTTCTTAGAGAATGAGAGAAAAGTAACTTGAATTAGCAAAACCGCTGTGGTTTATCGAAAAGGCTGGTAATAAGCCTTGTGCATTGAAGACGTGTATTTAGCGCAGTATAGGTGAGGACCATGGTGTTTGAATTTGGTAAGGTAAGTTATCCTTTATCAACTACTGAACAACCCGAATTCGGAAACCAGATGAAGTGATGTTCTCTCATTTCACCCTGTTCTCAATTTCCTCTCTTTTCCTTGCACTAGGATCAATTTGTAGACTTTCTGTTAATAAATTTTTTGTATTACTGAGTGAAATAGTAACAATGAACAATTAACGTGCATTGTTCGATTCCACGGCATTCTACTTCCTTACTTTAATTCTTCAAAATTCATGCAAAAAATGAGTAGAATTTGCTTAGCGAAACTTCACATTGGAGATTATTTGATACTCATCAACAGTACAGCTAACAGCATGTGTTCTCACCGTTCCGGTCAGGCTACATATTTTTCACATTTTGGGGTAGTCGAAATGACAAACTCAGTTAATGGAGGAAAAGATTACACAGTATGTGGTGACCATGTTTACCAAACAATGGAAGACTTACAGCTTAAATAAGAACATCCTTGTTTGACCCGTGAAACTCTGCGCCTCTTTAGAATAGAGCCCAGATTGATCTGCCAGACTGAACGTTCACTATTTTCTGATCTAATTAGTTAATCTTCAATCTCAACATATAAATATCCCCTCTACGGTTTCACACATTTCGACACTGCATTTGCCTCTCTCAATCTCCTTGCCTTTCTCTTTGTATTCAAGAATCTCTTCAAACCGCGAGTTGCTATCTCTCAGTTTTCCAGTTTGGTGACAGTTCAACAACTTATTTGTCTCCTAGATAACCTGGCTTCTTATAAGTAGTGTTAAAGGCACTTAAGGCTATCATACTTCAAAAAGATTGTTATTCTCAAAGGAAACATAAAATTCTGGTCAGCTTCGAATGATTAATTAAGACAATTTGTAGAAAGCAAGTAGTGAAGGAACTTTGCCTAACCTGCATTGAACTGTAATCGGGCCTGCAGTGGTTGCGACGGGAACAACAGGATTCGCAACGTCATCGATAAACTTGAGGAGATTTGAAGTTGCCGGTGGATAATTGATGGCCCATCCCATATACTGCATTTGCCTCACGAACATACACTTGAAAGAGAAAAAAAGGGAACAGAACCTTTAGATTTACTTTTCCGTTACCACTACTATTTGAGAGTACATATGAAGAAGGAGTATGCTTACGCTAGATTGATTTCTATCATGATGCCATTTATGTGCAGCATTAAACAATTTTTTTGCACTTTCATCAGTAGCAAGTTCCCTATCTAAATAATTTGTTTTCATATTTCAGACCAATCGATAAGTTGCTATGACCTCAGGTAAATAGTAAGATGAAGAAGTAATTACCTGTTTTGACAAAGCTATTATAAGCTTCTCTGCAGAGTTGATTTGCGTACTCAATTTGCTTACTTACAGTGCGAGATACTGATACAATTTCACTCGTAGTCTTTCTCTTCAAGAAAACTGACAGTTAATCCACTTGTCTCACTGAACTGGCAACAGTTGCAAAATACCGACATAGAGAGGGTAAGAAGAGTGTAAAATGAGGTAAATCGCAGAGTTATCAAGCAATGATCTAATTAATGGCACGTAGATTTTTATCGGTTTTATTAACTAGCTCACTTGGATCATGTCTTATGCAATCATTATTGCAGAAAGTCTGTCAAATCATGATATTGGTTTTGAATAGGGATAAATCGAAATAGCGAAGACACCTAATTTTAATTATTTTTGGTGTCTTTCATTGTTACGTAAAATTGTTCCCTTTTATCATATGCCTTTACAGTGTTTGAAGCGGCACTTATTCAAATAAGAAAAGGTGATTTCCATATAAATTTAACACTTTTATGCTCTTTAATAACTTATCCGTCATATTTTTATTTATTGCACAAAAGAAGTGAGTTATAATTAATCCAATAATGTGATCTGACGAGAAATTCAATTTTTTAAGGACCACTATTTTATTCATTAATACCGATAGAAATTTAAAAATAGTACAAATTACCAAATGTTCGTATCCTTCAGGCCATATTTTTATACTTCTCTCCAGCCAAACGGGTTTTTGGGCCTCGTGGACGAGTTGAACCCACATTCGGCCTCCGCATGTGGAGTAAACTGCCTTTTGCCCTACTTCTGGAGGCCAAAAGACTTCGAATTCATTTTCCGTCACAGCTCTAAATGAAAATTTTAGTTAGGGCACTTTTTAATCAAGTTTCTATTGATTTTAATTTTTTAATTATGATATAATTACTCGTGGGAAAAAGTTCTAAATTTGACTACAAGTAATGAAATGATATGGGGATAGCTCTTTAAAGCATTACTCTATACCTATTAAAGTCTTGATGCCTTTAGCCATTTTTTTAAAACCGGGCTTCAATATGGTATTTGTTCATAGAATAATTTTTTTTCAAATTTTAAAAGACTTTACCCAGTGAGATTGATTATCATGGGAGACCTTTGCTCATAAATCATTTTCCAAAAGTCGCCTATTGTGTTTTCCAATGGATCTTGAGTGATGATAAATTTAGGATCCGCTACGGATTCTTGATTCAGAACTTCACCCTCCTCGTTCATGTTACAGGCTCCTATGTAGCTGGCATTTATATAATTTCCCACAACAGAGTGCTAAAATTCAAAAAATTGTGGTTTTGCAATAATGATTGGTGGTTGTCAAATTTTGCAGACAAATTAGACATAAAACTAACATATGATGGGTCCACTGTTTGTTGTTCCTTGAACTCATTCCAGGTCCTTCCCAGAATCACTCTGTATTTGTCGTCTATGGTTAAAAATAAGAATCTTTGATTAGCCTCCTCAACATCCTTCCATGTATAACATCATAAAGCATAAAACTGACAAGGCAGAAGGTTCTTATATCGATTTTTACTGACATTTCCTAGTATGGTGCCACACAAAGAAGCTTTATCACCCTCTTTTGCTTCTTTGGACGTATCTTTGTTCAGCCTCTGTCATGCGATGAGAAGAAAGCATGATTAGCATTTACATACAAACTTATCAGTAAACAAATCACAGAAAAATTAAAAACATACTTCAAACCAACTTCTGAGTGTCGTATACCCATTTTGATTTTCCTGCGTCAAAAAGTTCTCCAAATCCGTAAGAGAAATTAAAGTGGATTTTCTGAAAAATTTTGCGCATTTTGTTTTTATAAATCAAGTTAAAAATTTTCGCTTAATAAACAATTTTGCGTACGGTGGTTTTGACAGTATTGTGCGCCTAATGAACCAAAATGAAAATACTTGTACATTAATATTAAGCAAATCTTTTCATAAAATAATATATTCCGATAAATAGTACGTTCTATAAAGAAAATAATGGAGCATACTTGCTATAAACTTCGTTTTTGCCCCTAATAGAGGATTAAAAAAATCATTATTATTATTATTATAAGTAATATAAACATTATAAAGTATAAAAAGTTTCCAAAGTATATCAAACATGGGAACTGTTAAATAGCTACTATAAAATGGGTCTATGGAATATATTCAAGCCTATTGGAGCTGTCTTGACGTGAAGAATAAACTAAAATAATTACATAGTTAACAGCCGGATTAAAAAGGGCCAAATTTAGCCTAGCTAGTTAGTAAACATAAAGGGTGAATCCATTTGTATTGTTGTAATTCATAATAATAAATGCAAAAAAATAAAAAAATCGATAGTACACCTCTTCAATAAAAAATATTGTAATAATACTTACGATTTTCTCGTAAACTTATGCATCTCAATGATACTCTGAAGTGTTAGAAGGGGTTGCCTACACAGCAAGGTTATCTATTGCAACTCTTCTTAAGAAATTCCTTAAACGATTTTCTACTATGTGACACCTTGCACAACGCCAATGAAAACCAGTCCTTCAATTGCCGTATTTTCACACGCAACTAACCTCACCGTCAGGTATCATAGCTAATTTTACGTCGGGCTGAACAGTGCATAATATTTGCCAAGTTTTGAGTAGAAAGATATCAGTTAAATAAGGAATTCTGATGAAATTTACTAATTTGATCAATGCAACTCTTTGCCATGGGGTAAAAATTGAAGACTGGCATCAATTTTATAATTTATACAATTTGATTTTGCATAGGATTTCTAAAGTTGGTATGAACCATTAAGTTTCCGAATCAAACTAAAATAATCACTAGAAAGATGTTATCGACTGGAAATTACTTGATCGTTTATTTTTTCAAGACACTAAAAGCTCAAGCAAAATCGATACTTTCTCATTTAAGCAAGGCTCTTCGACGACTAGGCCCAATGCTTCTTAAAAGCAGAAAATATACCCGTCACACCTCACTTTACTTCAAAATGCATATTTTGTTTAAATTGCATGAATCAGGACTCTAAGACGTGAAGAACTATCATGAATTCAATTTCTTTTAATGGGAACAATTATTGAATAGAGCAAAATTTGTATTATCTAGTTTATTTTGATTATTTTGATTCATCATACAGCTAACAAGTATCACCAACAAATCGTCCATCGAATAAGGTTTTAAAAAATGCTAATAAATAACGATTCTAATTTGTTTTATTTAATCAAACTCAAGTGCATTAATTGTTTGCTTCCATGCATAAAAGTTTCTTAAGAGTTAGTGTTTGAATGTCGTACTAAAGAAATAACTATATTTTGCATAAAAATTAATTTTTAAAATTTAAACAAAAGCATATACATAGATTTGTAAAACATAGTGCTCAAAATGGACATTTAGTGGAGTCAAAAGGTATTAATATATAATATTGGAATGTAGAATTCATTAACGACTTCAAACAGATAACTGAAACCAACTTCTCGTTAGATATGAATATTTATGCACCTTAAAGTGCAGCCAGTATGAAATCTCAATAAACATTCACTCCTGGTGTAAGTTGTAGCGGATTGCTACTTCATTAAAGCCTGACGGACTCAGAAATATCTATGGCAGATTCTCCAACATCAAGCTAGACTCCCAGAACCAGCTAAGCTATAGCCCAGCTATGAAAGGAAACAGACGTGTAGCACGGAGCGCGTTTATTCGGGACGTTATTATTATTATTATATCAAATGGCAGGCGCTTTGATTGTTATCATTAGCCCTTTAGTTGACCTCAGTCTTCACAGAGGGGAAGGAACATCAAAGTGTGAAAAATTCAAAAGAGGGGGGG